GTAGCTTTGGAGCCTAAACTGGCACTCGCTCTGGAGACCAGGCTGGCCTTGAACTCACAGAGATCTGCCTGCCTCCCGAGTGCTGGGATTAAAGGCGTGCACCACCAACGCCTGGTTTAGGCAGTTCTTTTCTATGACATTTGGCAACGTAACTGCATCATCTGTTTGGAGTATGAGCCCAAGTCTTTAACCGTGTTTTGAAACACTTCTCTTTGTGGAAACACACCCCTGGCTCATCAGCATTGTCATAGAAACACCAATGAATAGCATGTGTGTGGAAAATAAAGTCTGTCTTATTTCTTATTACTGACCCTATCTCTTTTATTTATTTTGCTTTTGTTTTATTGAGAGGGGGTGGCTTTGAGTTCCTGATTCTTTTGCCTTCGGTTCCCTGGTGTTGGGATTGCGGTTGTACACCACCATGTCTGGCACCGTCTCTGTTGTTGTTGATGATTTTGAGACAGGGTTTGTCTGTATTGCCCTGGCTGTCCACAAACTTCCTTTGTAGACCAGACTGGTCTTGAACTCAGAGATGTGCCTGCCTCTGTCACCTGAGTGCTGGCATTGAAGGCATGTGCCATCACTCCCGGCTTAATCAGCATTTAAACTAAACTAAACTAAACTTAAAAAAAAAAAGGACTTTTATTTTAATGTGTGCTGGTGTTTTGCTTGCTTGTATGTCAGTATAACACTTGCATGTCTGGTACCAGATGAGGCCAGAAGAGGGCATCAGATCCCTTGGAACTGGAGTTATAGATGGCTATGTGGGTGCTGGGGATGGAACCCGAGTGCTCTGGAAGAACAGCCAGTGCTTTTAACCACTGAGCCATCAGTTAGCCCTAGTGTCTGATCATAGTAACTTGTCTGAGAATACAAACACATGTATACATGTGACACAGAGCCAGGCACACACTAGAATGCAGGAATGTTAGCTCCTTTCCTCCTTTTCTTTCTTGGCAAGCACTTCACGACAGAGTACCCCTATCCTGTGCTTTTCCTTTTTCTAGAGTTTAATTTTGAGTTTCACAAACACAAACAATACAAAATAAATTATAAGAATAAAATGATATTTATTATGCATATTTGAGACAGGGTCTTTCTGGCCTCAAATTCAGTGTGTAGCCCAGGCTGGCCTCAAATGCAATATGTAGCCTAGGCTGGCCTTGAGCTGAAAGCAATCCTCTTAGAAGTGGAATATTTATTTATTTATTTATTTATTTATTGTTTCTTGAGGCAGGGTTTTTCTGTGTAGCTTTGGAGCCTGTCCTGGAACTAGCTCTTGAAGACCAGGTTGGTCTTGAACTCACAGAGATACGCCTGCCTCTGCCTCCCAATTACTGGGATTAAAGGCACCACAACTGCCCGGTTCAGAATATTCTGTCTTGATGAATGGAACTATGTCCGTATTCATCACATTGCTTCACAACTGATTACCAACAAAAATCACATGGGGTAAAACCTAGTGGCCAGTCATCTACAGTCATTCTGGCTGAAATCTAAGCATGCTTAATCCCTCATCTTTATATCACAAATGGGGAAACGGAGGCAAAGCTCTCAGAGATGATCCCTAGTACAACTCTATTGCTTTCACTCCACTTTACTCAGCACGTGGTTTTTCCTGTGTTCACCTTAAATAGGTGTCTCTGACTTGAGCAGATGTCCTCACACCAGGTGTGGCAGCACCAGCTACCTTCCCAGGGCCCTGGGCTCCTCTCCTTAGTCTTTTGCTCCCCCAACTCACTCCTCTTGTTTCTCTCTTTGTTCCCTCAGCCCACTGCCAAGCCCACCTTTTTGCTGAGATGTTCACAGCTCTGGCTTCTTGTCATCCTCTACTATTGCTTCCTGAGGTTAGGCCCAAGGGACTTCTTTCATGGCCAATAGCTGCATCTCCACATTCAGACTCTGTTATCATTTTGTTATAAATAGATAAAGAGTCTCCAATTGTGCTCCCCCCTCCCCGCCTCATACAGTGTACTTTATTGATGGTATCCAATATTTGAGAAAGTAGGGCTCCTTAAGCCATTCCCCTTCTTCTGGGGCCTGAAATAGAAACCAGGAGGGGAGATGCTTGGTGTAGTGGGGGCTGAATTGGGGCAGAGACTCCCCAGTTAGACAGCTAAGGGCCCTTCTCTTCCTCTCATGTTCTTGCTGAGGTTGGGTTGCCCAGGGATTCTTAATGCTTGGAGAGCATGTGAACTATAAGGGCCACCACTCAGTTGCTGTTACCAAATTCGTCATCATACCAGGAAATGAGTTTGATGTCATACCAGGAAATGAGTTTGACAAAAGTGGTTGATGAGGGCGTTGCCAAAATTGTCAGAGATGACTTTGGTCAGGGGAGGCCTGCTGATGATACCCATCATGAACTTGCGGGCACCAGCTGAAGAGGCATGACTCTTCTGGCTCCACCCTTCAAGTGGGCCCCAACCTTCTCCATTGTGGTGAAGGCACCAGTGGGTTCCACAACATTCTTGGCACCAGTGTCACTCTGTTGATGTAGGAGGGGATTCACTCCTGGAAGATGGAGATGGCTTTCCCATTGATGATAAGGTTCATTCTCAGCCTTAGCAGTGCTGTGGACCTTACTGTGTGTAGAATCATACTGAAACATGTAGACCCTGTAGTTGAGGTCAACGAAGGAGTCACTGATGACAACAATATTCACTTTGCCAGCGATGAAGACAGCCCTGGAGACCAGGAGCCCGATATGGCCAAATCAATTTTCTTTGACCTTTACCATGTGTCTTGGCACTACACAAGAAGATGTGGCTGTCCCTGGATAGGGAAGGAGCAGAGTTCCAGGCCTCCCTTCTTGTAATTGGAAATTAAAACACTTCCATCATGGAATTGTGTCCTATGTACGCAGTATCCTAGCGCTTACTGAATCGACCAGTTTACCTCAGGTCTCTAGGTTTATTTCACATGAACTCCTTAGGTGCAAGTGTCCTCCAATCAAAATGAACTCCTTATTGTTCACTAAACACACCCTGGTTTTCCCATTCCCATTTGCCCGTGTTCTTCAAATACCTTTCAGTGTCAGCTGGGCTGGTCTGTCTGCTCTAGTCATAGTATGAGTCTCCCTAATTGGTCTAAACAGTAATTGGCTGATGTGTACAAAACAGCTTAGACACAGTGCTCCAGGGCCTGGCTGAGTAGCCAGGCATTCTTTGCTGGACCCTTTGGGGTGGCTGGGGTTAGGTGTGGACTGATGGCTTTAGCTGGGAGACAACTTGGTTAATGTCCACATGTGCTCTTGAGCTCTCTCTCTGTCTCTCTGTTTCTCTCTGTGTATGTGTCTGTCTGTCTGTCTGTCTGTCTGTCTGTCTCTCTCTCTCTGTGTGTGTGTGTGTGTGTGTGTGTGTGTGTGTGTGTGTGTGTGTTTAGACCCACCAGATCTGCTCACAGGATTCTGAGAAAGGGGAAACATGCAAAGCTGTATGAGGCCTGAGTTTGAACCTCGATCACCATCTGTTCCACCACATTCCATCACTAATGCAAACGGCAAGGCCAGCCTGGGTTCAGCCTGGGTGCAAGCTGATTTTGCCCCTCAATGGGCTGGACTACAAAGTACATTGCAGAGGACATGGGTAAGGAATTGGTAACATTTTCTGTAGTATGCTCTTTTTTGAGACAGCCAGATTCCTGTTTTTGAGGGGAGAGCTCAAGAATCAGGAACTGGACATGCCATGCAGCAGTTTAGTGCATCAAGATATAGTAATGGGATGCATCACTGACTGGCAGAGACATCTGGGCAGGTTATGGAATTTATCTGTGCTGCAATGTTCTCACTTTTGTTTTATATTTGTTTGGTGTGTGTGTGTGTATGTGTGTGGCATGTCTGTATGTGTGTGTGTGTTTGTCTGTATGTCTGTGTGTGCATGTGTGTGTGTGTGTGTGTGTGTGTGTGTGTGTTTGTATGTCTGTGTGTGCATGTGAGTGTGTGTGTATGTGTGTGGTATGTCTGTGTGTCTGTGAGTGTGTGTGTGTGAATGTATGTGTTTGTATGTGTCTGTTTGTGAGTCTGTGTGTGTATATGTGTGTGTGTCTGTGTGTGTGTGTGTGTGTGTGTGTGTGTGTGTGTGTGTGTGTGTGTGTACTTTAGACTGCTTACTTAGCACAATCCACCAACTGACCTGTCATCTCTGAGGCAGGCAATAGAGCACTGTGTCTGCTCAAGGAACTGAGCCCCACAGAGCCATTGATCTTACTGCATCTCAGTTTCCACATTTGTTTTGATTTGTTGGGAGGCAGGATCTCATGCAGCCTAGGCTGACCTCAAACTCCATCCATAGCTAAAGATGTCTTTAAATTCCTATTCTACCTTCTTTTGTTCCCCCAAGGGCTGGAATGGCATCCATGGGCCACCATGCCTGGCTCTTGGGTCCCACATTGGTAAAGGATGGAGTGACAGGCATGGGCCACAATGCACTGGAGTTCTTGATTTTTTTGGGTTTACAATTAAAACATTTGAATAATTTAAGCCCCAATTGCAGAATGTTATTGACTGCCTTTTAGTGGAATGTGTGGCTTTGCCATTTCCTCGCTGCAAGGGAGGTTCAGGATTTACCTGTTTGTCCAGTCTTGCTGATCCTGTCTCATTATTCTCTGTAATAATTTTTGGTGGTGCCATTCTTCCTTGTGCGAGTGGAATCTTGTTATGTTGAAGTCAGATAATGCCTGAGGATTTTCCACCATGTGAACAGTAGAGGGATTCAGGTAGCCACATCCTTTGTTGATGCCGCATTGGAATTTCTTAGCAGGTACTGGAAGGCGTGGCTTTCCATTAAACACCACGCAGTTCAGTTTCTGTGCTTCTCCACCTTGTTTGGTGTTTGCAGCCGATGGCAGACCACCAGATCTTCTCTTGCCCCTCTACAGCCACCATCAAATGTATCACAGGATGGAATGATTCTGCAGAGGTTGGGAACAAGTTTTCACAGTCTTGCTGATGTTTGGCTTTTTACAGTGAGGAATCTCACCCTTTTGCTGCTGGATCTGGGGGTGGTGTGGAGCATTCCAGACTCCATAGTTCAAGATTAAAGTGATGCAATGTAGAATTCCTTCCAGGACTTGGTAAGCAGAGAGCCAAGGCATACAACATAGATCAAGCATCTGGAAAACTTCCTTGGGTACCATCCTCATGGAAACAGGTTTAAGAGCTGTGGCAAAATACTGGTCTTCCTTTAGCTTAGCCAAAGACATCTTTGTTTTGTTTTGGGTGTTGGGGATTGATCTCAGAGGCTACTCTGGATAGAATAAAATAATTTTAGGTTTTTAATATGGACTGAAAGATATGCAAAAAGTTTCTTTTAGAAGAAAAAGTTTAAAAAGGAAAATTTTTGTGGGAATATTGACCTTATACATTTCCTTTTCTTTTCTTTTCTTTCTTTCTTTTTTTTTTTTGAGACAGGGTTTCTCTGTGTAGCCCTGGCTATCCTGGAACTCACTTTATAGACCAGGTTGGCTTTGAACTCACAGAGATCCACCTGACTCTCCCTCCCAAGTGCTGGGATTAAAGTCATGTGCTACAACCACCTGGCAACCCTATATTTTATGGATACAATTTAGTTAAGTAAGTCTGGTATTTGTTTAGGAAGAAAATTACTTACCAATGGGCTAGATTAGAGTGTTTCAAAAATATTTGAAAAACTTGGGCATTTAATTAGTACATGATAAAGGAGTCACTTAGCTTAGTGAGCAAAGTGTATCCACACACTTGCCTCTCAAGACAAAATAGCTTCATATCTTATACCATATAAAACAAAAACTTCAAAGGAGTTACAAATATAAACATAGACTATTAAGCCATAAAGAAGTAAAATGTAGGGGTGATGTCCAAATGCCCCCAGGAATGGAGGGCATCTTTACAAGGATGAAAAACTTAGAGGCCCTCAGAGAACAACAGCCGTTTGTTGTTTCATTTGTGTTTTTGAGACAGGGTCTCATCTCACTATGTATCACTGACTGGCCTGGAACTTACTATGTAGACTAGGCTGGCCTTGAACTCACAAAGATACACCTGCCTCTCAAGGGCTGGGATTAAAGGGATACACTATCACACCTGGCAAAAATACCCAACACCTTTCACTACATAAATTTTAATTATGACAGACATCATGAGCAAAGTTTGATAAACAGTAAATTTATCAAAAAAACTTTGAGTCATGCAAAATGTTATGTACCCTGATTTTCAGAGAGCCCTCCTAGGTAATAAGAGAAGGTCAGATAAGGCAGATTGATCAGGGAGGAGGGCAAGAAGAGGCTGGAAGCATTAAAGAGGGTGGGTCTTGGAGAAGTAAGTGTGTACAATCTGTTTGGAGGAGCATGTTTAGTTCAGTCCACCATCTCTCATGGAGTCCCTCTCTCAGATTCCGGGTTCATGCTTTCCAATGTTCTCTGTCAGGAGTCCGTGACTACAGGCTCCTCTGTATCCAGCGGGAATCTCACACAAGTGTTTGGATGGCTTCCTAGTATTTAACACTTTGTACCAGACAGGTGTTTAGTCAGCTTTTTGGTGTTTTAACTTGTCTTATTCAAGCCCCAAAGGTGTTTAAGAAATTCTGGCATGTTTTCTTTAGAGTGGAGAGCAATGAGCTTTGTAGTATTCCATCCCCTGTAATCTCTGAGAAAGTGAGTCCCAGAGTTGCTTTGAAAAAATGGTTTCTAGGAGTTGCTTTTGGCAAAGAACACATTCTTAATTCTTTTTTAATTTTATTTATTTATTTATTTATTTGTTTATTTATTTATTTTTACATTCTTAATTCTTTTGAGATGGCAGTCCCACTATTTAGACCTGGCTGGCCTTGAACTCACAGAGATCCACCTGCCTCTTTTTATCCAGTGAGCTACCACATGTGTCCCAAGATTACATATTAAAGTGGGTAAGGGACAGGTTTCTGGCTCTCCCTCCTAAGATTTTCATTTTCCTTTCAGCGTCAGTATGACCACCTGTTCCACAGTGGCTGCCCTGGGAATGATGCCTCTCTGCCTTTACCTCTACTCCCGGTCCTGGAACCTTACACAGAGTCTCACCATTCCGTATCAGAGCATGGGTCTGTATGGGGCTTGTGTAACGAGTAGAAAGAGCAATGACAATGGTACAGATGACAGATAATTACAAATCTCTTTATATCAGTTTAGCATCACCTAAATCGACCCTCCTAGCTTCTAGTTCTACTTCTTATTCTTTCAGGTTTATCGAGGTTAGGTAACTTCACGAAGATCATGCAGTGTAGAACTGAAATCCTAACTCAGGACTCCGACCCTAACACCCAGACTCTCAGGCCCTCTGTGCTAGTTGTTGTTGGTGTAGTGAAGTACCCGAGGCAGCACATTTATGAAGAAGAGTGGTTTATTGAGCTCACAGCGTGTCCCACACTGGCTAGGCATCCACAAACCGTAGTGAATGTTCTTATGAGCCCCGTCCCCTAGCTGGGAATGTCATAGACTTAGAGGGACCATTCTCATTTCTCACCAGTATATTTCTGTTGTCTCGAAAATCCCTGTGGTTGATTGTTGGAGAATTCTGAGAGAAATGGTGGCCCAGGTGTGATAGAATTTACTAGTAGCACATACTCTTCAAAAATTGTCTTGCCAGGTGGTGGTAGCACACGCATTTATTCCCAGCACTTGGGAGGCAGAGGCAGGGGGGTCTCTGACTTCAAGGCCAGCCTGGTCTACAAAGTTGAGTTCCAGGACAGCCAGGACTGTTGCACACAGAAACCCTGTCTCAAACCCCTCCTCCACAAAAGTTATTTTAAAGCTGTCAACTAATTGAAACAGAAGTTACTGGGAAAGTATGGGGCACTAGGGAAGAGGGGGCACTGTCTGATGTTTGTTTTTTGTTTTTTTTTCTTTTTCTTTTTAGGAATTACCCTTGGGTCCCTGGTTGTTCCTGTGGCCTTCGGTGTCTACATGAATTATAGGTGGCCAAAGCAAGCAAAAGTCATTCTTAAGGTCAGCACCCCCTCCTACATATAGCATATCACCAGATGCAGAGACTAAAAGGTGGAACCAGTGAGCTATCCTAGTACAGCCCCTGCTGTTTCCTGCTGTTTGTCTGGGAGCCTTGCTCTGTTACTCCCATTGGCCGACACACATTTGTGACACCTTGGAAAACATGATGCCCTTAGTGGACAGAAACACTTAGGCCTGACATGACCTGTGATGACCAGGACCTCTTCCTCCCCTGGGCTTCCTACAAGCACCTGCAAGGTGAAGCTCCTCCCTGCAGAGTGTACAATGGAATCTCAGTGTGTGGGAACTGAATGAAGGGCTGTCTTGCTGAAGCATTCCCACACACACCACTGGAGTTGTAAGTGGTATACACAAGCAAGGGCTGCTGACCTCATCAGTAACAAGGTGTGGGTGAAATCATCCTGAAAGCACCGAGGGCTGGCCATGGAATGGTGGGAACCTAGGCATCCTGCCTTCCCTTGCTTGGCAGTGCTGTCTTTGAGAAATGAGTGTTCTTGCTAAAATGACTTTAAAAATCACATCAGAAGATAGAAGTTTGTGTTTCTTCAAAGCTGAAAAAGAAACTGAGCTGTATTTTTACATTTAGGAAGAAATGATCATTTGGGGGTTAATTGGAGGTTCAGCAAAAATGTCTGTTTATCTCAGCTTGGAGTTTGTGGTTTGGTCCAATCTGAGATCACTCTGCCTCTGTGGGCTGCTGTTTCAGTTGGAACAGTGCCCATTGTTGCTTCAAAGAGAGAGAAGGGACAGGTGAGGGAGACCCTGTGTGAGCGCATGGAGCACTGGGCTGTACTCATGGGCTAGGCCCCTTCATTCCCACACTTGTCACTGTCACTTTAAAAGGAGAACATTCCCAGGGGAAATGTTTACAGAACAAGAGGGCAGTGTGACTATGGGAACTTTCTTTTCAAGTACTTTGTCATTAATTATTGTTCTTAAAGGGGCATTAATTGACAACAACAATTTAAAAATCCCATTTCAGCTTTTCTGTGTACTTGCGGTTTTTTGTACCATTACACAGTGTTCCTCATCAGGGACAAGCCATCTGTTATGTAGTTGTTAATCTACTTCATCATAGTTATGCCTATGAAGAAAGTGCATACATGTGTATTTTACAGGATCCAGCCTTCACTTTATCTGATTTGATGCACCCGCTAAATGCCTAAAGTTTAAACCTTTACACCTGCGCTGAGCTCGGCTTCATGGGGAAGAACCTCAGCTGTGTCTCCCAATCACTGACCTTTTTGCTTTGCTGTAACAGGTCGGGGCCATCGTTGGTGGCATCCTTCTTCTGGTGGTGGCGGTCACTGGTGTAGTTCTGTCAAAAGGATGGAACACAGATGTCACCCTTCTGATAATCGGTTTCATTTTTCCTTTGGTTGGCCACGTCACTGGCTTCCTACTGGCATTCCTCACCCACCAATCTTGGCAAAGGTATAGTTACATAACCTATAAGGTGTTCTTGTTTTCACGTGCTGGTGCGTGTGTGCATGCATGTATGTGTCTGAGACTCAGGTTTTCAGACCTGTGTATGTTAGACACAAGCTCTACCTCTTATTCTTGCCAGGCTCTGTAAGCTCTTCTGAGGCAGGTGTGTTGAGCACCCACCATGGCAAACTTTACTGTCTCTGCCAGGAAACAGGGAGGGTTTCACTTCAATTGTGGAAAGGAAGCTTATGGTGATTCTTTACATAGACAAAAGCCACATAGATGGTGTTTATACAGTCAGGGTTACTATTGCAGCAAGGAAACGGCTTAACCCCCAAAACAAGGACCTGGAGAGGAAAGGGTTTATTCAGCTTCTACTTCCACATTGTAGTCAGTCATTGAAGGAGGTCAGGGCAGGAACACAAGCAGGGCAGGAACCTGGAGGCAGCAGCTGATGCTGAGGCCATGGAGGAGTGCTGCTTACTGGCTTGCTCAGCCTGCTTTCTTATAGAACCCAGGACCATCTGCCCAGATGGTCCCTCCCATAGCAGGCTGGGCCCTCCCCCATCAATCACTAATTAAGAAAATGCCCCACAGCTGGATTTTATGGATGCCTTTTCTTGATTGAGGTTCCCTTCCTTCAGATAACTCTATCTCGTGCCAAGTTGACAAAGCATCAACACCGATTATAGTTTATGAATTTAGGATTAGGGCTTTAGTATGGCTTGTTGGTCTCTGAACAATTCAAGTCCAGCCAGGACTACAACAAAAGACCCTGTCTCAACTATGAACCCGAGAAGGGTGATGTGTGAATCCCGTGGATCAATAACAGGGGTGAACTTTTTTTGCTTAATATAGAGATCACAGTAGAGCATGAGTAAATTTTAAGAGATTAAATCCTTGTTCATTGTGTCAGATTTTTAAAGAATTACTAGTTAAGAATAATACAGGAATCTGGGCTGGAGAGATGGCTCAAAGGTTAAGAGCACTGACTGCTCTTCCAAAGGTCCTGAGTTCAATTCCCAGCAACCACATGGTGGCCCACAACCATCTGTAATGAGATCTGGTGCCCTATTCTGGCCAGCAGGCACATAGGCCAACAGAGTGCTATATACTTACTAGATAAATAAATCTTAAAAAAAATACTTATAGGAATTTGTCTTAAATATTATCCTTTGGACTGGGGTATACATTTATAAATATTAAAAATGACAATCTCCATGTTAGCATGCATGTCATGATATGAATGCAGTGATATAATACTGAGGGGGCTGGTGACAGAAACCAGCATTAACTTTCTGAAAGGCAATGCAGTGTTGTATTAGCAGCCTCGTGTGTGTTTATGACTATTAACTCAGCGCTTTTGACTCTGGTTGAGAACAGGGTCTTGCTATGTAGATCTGGCTGACCTTCAACTCTGTGTTCTCTTGTCTCAGCCTCTTGAGTGACGGGATTAAAGAGGTGCGTGTCACCGCAATCATCAGTAATCTATTCTAGTGCTAGCTCTATCAGATATACACATGAATACTGATACAATAAGATGCCAATTAGTGCCCTCTAGAAATGAAAAAATGGAAACAATTCAAATATCTAACAACAGGGTCACGTTTATTTATGCAGCATGCGTGTGATGGGTACAATGCATCAATCCCAATGATGTTGAATGATGATCCAGAGCTAAACTTGTTTAAAATTGTTGATTTCTACTTTTCGAGGAAAAAAGCAAAAAGAATATGGAAAAATACTGGAAGAAATGGCAATTTAGAGCAGGGAAGTCAAGGGTAATTTCTGTTCTTTCATAACTCCTGGGAGTATTTTCTGTTTTTCACAAAGTGAGTTTATTTTTAAATCGGGAGTGATTACAGGAAAGCATCTGGACTGGAAAGGCTGGGTGGGGAAGGCTTGGGCTGCTCTTACACTGCTCCCATTCCACCCAGGAACACCAGTGAGCATTGCATAAGCACTGAGTGACACCCCGCCTCGTCTAACCCTGCTTTCTTCTTGTTGCAACCTGACAGCAGGGAGCTATGGCTATCCTGCCCACTGATGAGCAAGCCCTCCAGAGAAGATTAGGAATGTAACCAAGTTCCTATAGCTGGAAGGTGGAGTTTGGATTTGAGCCTGGGTTTGCTTCCAAGGTCAATAGTTAGGAGCATAGACTATTGAGCGATGGAGATTGACAGCTGGATCTGGAGAAAAAATTGAGTTCTTATGCCAAGGTGCTGTCAGCTGTCTGGTCTTCCTGATATTCCCTAGCCTGACAGAGATGAGGCCAGACATAACTGCATTTGCTTTGTGAATGATCCTGGTGAGCTGCAAGTTAGGAAGTTTGAGGGATGTGCACACTGCATGAAGGAAGAAGGAATAAATACAGCATGTCACAGAACTTGCCCCATTTCACACCCTGTGTCTACAAGGAATCCTGGCTCCACCAAAGCACCTCTAACCTTTCATTTCATATATGAAGGATGCAAGCACCTTATAGACCGGAGACAAACAGAATCACTTGATCCACCCTCCAAGCCTGCCTCCTGCCATTGCTTCCTTTTTCTCTCATTTTTCATTTTCAAGTAAGATTTATTCCATTTTCTGTGGTCAGAAAACCAACAAAGAGAAATTTATAATTGAACTTTATTATTGAATTATTATTTATTATTGAACTTATTATTTACTATAGCAGCCTTTTCTGACATTTGTTTTTCATCTAGAGTTTTGGCATGCTTTTCAGTTTGTTCAGTTGCACACCTCTGACTCAATTTCCCATTCTTGTCTCCTCCATTCCTCCTCTGCATGCAGACTGGCTTTTAGTACAAGAAGCCCCTTCTGAAGAAGCCATGCTCATGCTTGTGCCTGCTCACACTTGTTCCACGCTCACACTTGTGCCTGCGCACACTTGTTCCACGCTCACACATGTGCCTGCTCACACTTGTTCCACGCTCACACTTGTGCCTGCTCACACTTGTTCCACGCTCACACTTGTGCCTGCGCATACTTGTTCCATGATCACGCTTGTGCCTGCGCACACTTGTTCCATGCTCACACTTGTGCCTGCTCACACTTGTTCCATGCTCACACTTGTGCCTGGGCACACTTGTTCCATGCTCACACTTGTTCCATGCTCACACTTGTTCCACGCTCACACTCGTGCCTGCGCACACTTGTTCCACGCTCACACTTGTGCCTGCTCACACTTGTTCCACGCTCACACATTCCTTGCTGCCACTCCCCTGATACTGATCACCTCTTCAAGTTCTGTAGCTTCACTACGCTGCAAAGCTTTCTGGAACCGCCGCTGCCACTTTGCTGAGTTTCTATAGCATCTCCTGGCCCTGATCATTGTTCAAATTGTTTGTGAATCTTTTCTGGTGTGCATCTTGCCCTTCTACTCTGATCGAGGCCCTATTCCACGGGGCATCCTTGCCATATACAGTAGTAACTGTCAATGAACACAAGCTTTTAGTTGCCTGAGTCTGTAGCTCAGACCTGTCTTTATTCGAAGGGAACCCTCAAGACAGTTCTTTTTGCTGGTTCACGTCTCTTCAATCTGCTCACTGGCAGGTGCAGGACAATTTCCATTGAGACCGGAGCTCAGAACATCCAGGTGTGCATCGCCATGCTGCAGCTGTCCTTCACTGCCGAGTACCTGGCCCAGCTGTTTAACTTTGCGTTGGCTTACGGACTCTTCCAAGTACTGCATGGGCTCCTCATTGTCACAGGTAGATGAATTCCCTCTGCATGTCCTGCCCTTGTGTTGTAACTTTAGCCAGGATACTCTGATGTAGTGGCTGTTTCCTGGAAAATATTTAAAAAGCCATTTGAGTGAGATCTTAAAACCACAAACAACTGAACTGTATAAAACCATCCCCCTAGCTTTTATGTCCTATCTCACTCAGAGACTTGAGTTTCCCCAAATGTTCAGCTACTTCTGGGCCCCAGAGAAGGAAAACCCAGGCTCAGTGGGTGCAGAGGATTTTTCAAATACAAGCCTAACACATATATACAATGTAGACACATGCAATCTTCTGCACACATGGACCCACATGGGCTAGTCTCCTACCTCCTCAGCCAAATACACGTTACTTTCGGGGTAAATACTTATGTGCAGGAGGTAAACTGCAAGAAGGTGTGAATACACATGTGTACATGTACATCTATTTATTTTGGTCTTGCTCTTTGGGATAGGCTCTAGGAAGGTTAGTGGGTACTGATGGAATTGATTGTACACTCTATACCTTTCTGTTGCTGTGGTGAAATGCAGAGCCCCAAAGTAACTTATAGAAGAGAGATCTCATGTTGGCTTACAGTTAGAGAGAGTGTGCACATACTGGCAGGAGGCAGGGCATCGGGAGGCTAGCAGGTCATATTTCAGCTGCACACAGGAAGCAGAGAGAGTGCAGGGAGCACAGCCAGGCTATAAAGACACTCAAGCTGTGTCCCTAGTGAAGCACTTACACCAGCAAGGCTCTGTCTCCTATTCAGCACCGGGGTCCAAGTGTTGGAATACATGGGTTCTTGGGGCATGCTCTCATACTAACCACCACAGTACTGATTATCATATGCTATTGGTATGATCACAGTGATGTAAGGAACACTTGGGGTCGGAGGTTTCCCATGAGATACAGAAGTACTGTTAGAAGAAACTCCTGGTTCTGAAACCCTTCTTTGCAGCTATATCCTAGCACTCAGGCAAGTGCCTGATACACAGTAAGTGCCCCACAAGGGTTTGTTGGCTGACTGAGTGAATAAGCTCAGAGACTGATAAACTCCAATTCTAAATAGAAAGAACCATTCTGATACCCCAACACCCTTTCATTCCATATCTTTCTTCTTACTTCTTCCCCCATGTTCCCACATACATATCATGCAAACTGAGCAACTCTCCTGAATTACAGGTGAGTATGCACTGTCCCCCACTTGTACTCTCTTTGCTAAAGTGACTTTTAATGCTATTTGTTTTTTTTCCACCTAGCATATCAGGCATACAAGAGGAGGCAGAAGAGCAAACACAGGAGGCAGCACCCAGATTGCCCAGAGGTCGGCTATGAGAAGCAGCCCAGGGAGACCAGTGCTTTCTTGGAGGAAAGTGATGGAGCTGCTGTAACTCTGAGGCCATCAGGGCCAGAGCAGCAACACAGAGCTGCTGAGTGATCAGCCACATTCCTTCATGTGAACAGTGGGAGACATGGGCCAGCTTGGCCGTGCATCTTCCTTCATGGCCAGTAAAGACTGTGTGCTGATGTGGGAACATCGTTGGCAGGCCTGTGTGAATATGCAACGTGTTTTCTGTCCCCACCTCCTGTGGGACAGCGAATGGTGGTTGGCAGTGAGCAGTAGACATCTCCCTGCGAAGCTGGCCTCCTATTGTGTATTTTAACCTGAGAGAGGGAGGGAGGGAGGGAGGGAGGAGGGAGAGAGAGAGAGAGAGAGAGAGAGAGAGAGAGAGAGAGGGAACATCGTGTAATGGTGCAGGATGGAGTGGATTTAGATCCATTCGGCTCCTTGGCTTCCAGCAGGTGCCCTGGAGCTCTTAGTGAAGATAGGCTAAGAGAAAATGAGTTTTAGCGATGTGATTTTTTTTAATTAAAAAATTTTTATTTATTTTACCTATCAATCACAGTTTCCTCTCCCTCCTCTTTTTCTGTTCCCTTCCCCACCTCTCTTCTTCCCCCCCCCACCATCTACTCCTCTTCTCCACTCAGAATGTGTATGGTCTCCATAGGGGTCAACAAAGCATGGCATATCAAGCTCCTCCCCCTTGCATCAGGGCCGGGCAAGGCATCCCACCATAAGGAATAGGTTTTAAAGGGCCAGTTCATGCACCAGGGTCAGATCCTGGTCCCATGCAGGTTCCCCAGCTGCAATTGCTAAGGGATCAAGCATCTTGTAATTTATGTGTGTAATGCAAGCTGAGAGAAAAATCTAAAGAAAACATTAGAAGAATCTAAAGAGTGAATGTCGGGGATAGTTCTTTCTCCAGAGAGGAACAGACATGTGGCCAGAATCTCCAAAACAGATACAACACTTGCGGCGAATCGTCAAAACAGCAGAGAATGCATGCACATCCCTTGAGTCTTCTTGTGTACCAAGCCATCTAAAAAGCCTGGAGCTTGTTTCCTATGTGTCCTGACAGTGGACTGACGATGATCTCAGAGCATCTTCATACATCTGTTTGTGTTACCTACCTCATTCTTTAGAACAGTGGCTATGTCCGAGTGTTGTGTTATATAGGACTGTAATTTATTTAACTCCTCTTTATTAGTGGGTATTTAGAGACCTTGCAGTGTAGCGCTGCTATGAACCCCTGGCCCTCTTGCTCAAGTCCTTGTAGGCTCCTTCTTGCAGCTCTAGTGGGCAGGCCCACTGCTCCTCAAAATCTGGGGCAGATTGCTCTGTCTCAGGAGGGCTCTGTTGTTCAATCTTACCAGTTTAATAAATGATCTTTCATCACTTTGATTTGTGAAAGCATCTCATTAAAATTATGACATCAAAATCACGAACTAGAACGTTTTTTATGTTCATTTTTCCCCTTCATGTGTTTGAGCTGCCTTTTTTCCCATGACATTTTTATTTTGCCTTTTTTTTTAATTAATTTTTTTTTAAATTTTGCCCTTTTTGAAGACAGGATTTCACATGGTAGCCCAAGGTAGTTAAGCTTTCAAAAATCCTCCTCTTCAGCCTCTCCAGTGTTCAAAATTGCAGGGCTTGGCTACTTCATTTGTACTTTGTTATAGGTGGCTGCGCCTTTTTCCTGTGTGTTGCCATGGCTCTCCTAGCTTGTTCCCTTATTATGTGTCTTGCTGTAGAGACTTATATTTTTCCACACATTTTAGCTTTATCAGTCTTCTAGAAAACTCCGTAAAGGCCAGGAGTTTGGAATGTTATTTTTTTATGTGGATTATGAGTTGTCATATACCTCCTGTGGAGAATGCGTGTACCCTTTTCAGTTGTTTGCTCTCTGCAGTGGGTATTTGCCCACGTGATGGTGCCTGGCAACCAGTAAAATCCAAACCTCTCTACCCTGACATTATTAAAAGCATTTCCCATATGCATTTCTGTTACCTCATGAATTTAATACTTGCCAATCCCTCATTCTTGGTGCAGTGTGTTATTAAAATCCTATTTTGAAAATCTGCCCTTATTTACTTTGGTATATGTGTGTAAAAGGAGTTCTTAATTGGTCTAGATAATAAAAGACCAGAGTCAGATATAGACAGAAATGCTGAGAGATCAGAGAAAAAGAGCAAGCCACAGTCACCTTACCTCCTAAGCGTATCAGCAGAGAAGAGATTTCCTGTTTCTCACTGCTTATACTGTTTCTGCCCAGCTATGTCACTTCCTGTCTTTCTGTATAGACCTCCAGACCTCTAGGGTTAGCTAGTGGCAAGCTCCATTCTCTGACCCCAGACAGGCTTTATTTGTGCAAGAAAGGCATCACCACATATGTGTATTAGGGGCTACACATGCCTTGGCACGCCATGTGGAGGTCAGAGGACAGCTTCTGGCATTGGTCCTTGTTTGATTGGTCCTTCTGCCAGGTTTGAGATGGAGTCTCCTGTTAGTCACTGTGTGCCGGGATAGCTGTCCAGTGCTTCTGGGGACTTGCCTGCCTCTGCCTTCCATTTTGCCACAGGAGCTGAGATTACAGATGCACTCACTCCTGTATCTAGTTGTAGGTGGGTTCTGGGCACGCAGACTCAGGCCTGTCAGCTTGTGAGGAAAATGCTCTACCCTCTGATCCATCTGCCCAGCCCAAGGATTTTATTTAAATATTTGTTTTTAGATGTATTTATTTTACATGTATCAATGTTATTCCTTGTATGAATGTATGTGTCCATATGTATGTCTGTGCCTGCAGACGTTAGAAGACGGAGTTGAATCTCCTGGAACTGCAGTTATAAATCATTGTGAACCACTACTAGGTGAGTGCCGGGAACCAAACCCCAGTCCCTTGCAAGTGCAACAAATCAAATGCCCTTAACCACTGGGCCATCTCTACAGCTCTGATTCTATATATATACTTTAGTTTGTGGTCCTCGATTGCTGTGTTAATTAACCTAAGTTCCTGTTGCTTTGCTGCTTGGGGGGGGTCCTTGCTTTCCCACTTGATAATGTTCAAAGGGAAGCTAGTCTATGCCATGCCACACTGGGCCCACAGGACAAGCCAATCAAAGCAGAAAGGGTTCTTTCCCTTGGGAGTTCATAGTCTAAGGGAAGTTGTCAGAGCACTGAGAGGGACATGGGCAGGAGAGTCGTGTGTTAAGATCCAAAAGGCTGTCCTTGAACTCTGTACACCAGGGTGGCCTTGAAATCACAAAGATCTGCCTGCCTTTGTCTCTGGAGTGCTAGGATTAAAGGTGTGCACCACCACACCCAGCTACTCTATTTTTTTTTTTTAAAGGACTTTCATCCTTTTCTTTTTTTCTCCTAAGCCTACATATATTTTTAAACACACTGTAAATCCTTTAGAGGTTTTCTCCCCCCCCCAATCTGAATCAGTCTTTACTGTGTATTTTATTTTATTTTTTTTATGATGAGTCTTTACTCTGTTAAATTGCATGGACAAGATTAAAGTGGCCACTGGTCCTTATAAGAGGTCACATCTGCATCTGAAGCCACGCCCCTAGGATGTGGCCACCACCAAATGTACACTGGCAAAGCAAGATGCCACTACAAAAAGGAGCATCACCAAGAGGTTTAGAAGACCCATGATGTTCTGGATGTTTGTCTACATGAGCACCTACAGAAAATGTAGAATTCAATATTCTGCTCTGAGTTAGCAATATGGTCAGAATTCACCATTTAGGGAATCCCCAGGAAGGGGACACGTATGTGAAAGCCTGCTTTGTTAAAGACAGAAACACTAGTCACCGCAAATGGCACGTCCGAAGACTGCTGCTGATTCTAACACCAGGCTATTGATTCTGGATAATACCAGGTTGCTTGCAGGGACGTCCATGGTTCCTAGAACAGAGGGTAAAACCTGGTGGGCTGCTTAGTTTTGTTTTGTCTTTTGACTTGAAACATGTTGGAGTCATCTGGGAAGAGGGAAGATCAACTGAGCAATCCTAGCTCCGTGCTGGGATTACAGTGGAATCCACAATGGTGTTTCCATACATGTGTGTGGCAAGCATTGGTCTTATCCAGGCATTCCTCTCTCACCTTTACCTGGCTCCCCAAACTCCTCCGTATTCCCTAGTAATGACCACTTTTCAGGTTTTTTTCCTTGTATTTCCACATGTAAGAGAGAACTTGTTTTTTTTTTTATTTATTTATTTTATTTTGTTTTGTTTAACATGGTGTTTCTCAGGTACATCCATCTTTCTGGTAAGTGGCAGATTTCAGTCCCCTTGACAGCGAGATGATAATTCATTGTATATCCACAGATGGGCACTTGGGCTGGTCCTGTAGAACAGCTATTAGGAATATCAAGAACTCCAGTACTAAACATTAACATACAGGCATTTCTTTTGGCTATGTAGACTGGTGGTGCCTGGACCACAAGGTAGCTCAAGTCCTGAGTGTTTGAGGAAGTGCCCTACCTCCTCGTAACGGCTGCACTATTTCCATTGTACCAACAGTGTTTCTTCCACAAGTCCCATCCTTTCTAGCATTTACCTTCAAGCATAATCTAGTTCAGTTTGGTAACAACTTCAATTATCACGGGTCTCCCCTTCTTTAGTAGAGGTGTCTCAGGAAGCAGGCTGTCCTGCATGCAAGCTGTCCTCTGTGATGAATGGCCCAGGCCTGAAAGGGTGCTTTCATCCACTCCACATGTGGCCATCTGTGCTCTTCTGTTTCTGAGGATGACATGGAGAGTACCTGTGGCTCACAGAGCAGCCATCATCCTGGATTCTTGGAACAGGAGGGGATAGAGAGAGGCAGGGAGACAGAGACCCTGCTGGGCTGCTGGCCTCCCACAACTGTTAGGTAAGTTAGATGAGGCTTTGCTTGAGCCACTGTATGCTTTGGCAGGTGTTCCCAGCACACAGCAAACACAGGGCTGTCTTTAGTCACGGATTTGACATGAGTTCCCCAACACATACCCTGGCACTGTGGCCTTCCTTACCTGGCACTTTCACCATGGTGGCCCTGACATTCCCTGGGGTGGAGCTGAGACTCAGATGATGGCAGAGACACAATTATAATAACCGGTCACTCAGTTTAGGGCAGAGACAATTGTAACTCAGATGTCAAAAACCTCCACTTGCCTCTTCCTTTCAGTTTCCAATTCTCAGCTACATTCTTTCTAGAAAAAGTCTCCTCCAGTGCTGTCCTCACCCAGCTGTGCTGGCTCCAGACAGCAGCCAATGACCCCCACCCGTGCTGGTTCCTGGCCCTCTGTGGCCTGGCACCCTGGTAATGATAGAACCCCCTTTCCCTTCTCCTCCCTCAACCACAATGACAGTATTGGTTACAATTTAACCTATGGATATGCTTCTAGAATATGCACTTAGGTAAAATCAGAAGCGGCTGGTGTGCCTGGACCAACTGGGAAATGTGGTATCCCTGGGCTAACTGGGAAATGGCTGAGTTAGGGTGCAGCTGTCCCTGGCTCCTAGAGGCCTGGATACTGTTAAGAAAATTGAAGATGCCTGAATTGGCTGTCCGAGTTTAAGATGTGGTTTTATTTACAAAGTGAGATGACGCATTAAAAATAGATGACACAGGTACAAGTGGGTATCTCAGAACTCCATTTTCATGGAAAGTATATAAATATATTACAGAAATTGTATATAGTAAACATTAGAAACTGATACAGTAAACATTGCTAGTTTCTTTTCTATGCCAATATTACTGTCATTAAAAGCTTAAATACTGGCTTCAAGTATCCTCTATAAAATAAATCTACTTTATTAAAATACTGGAAAATTTGCTATAAACAAGATTTGGTACATTAAAAATAGACTCAGTGTGTCTTTGTAACAATGTCCACTAAGACCAAATGCTGCCTTGTTCCTAAGACCTGCCTTGTTCAGGTCATGTTAAATGAGTTTTGATAACCATCAGTGGTTAAAGTATCTGCAAAAACACCACATCCTGAGATGTGTATCTCACAGAGGCGCCCTCAGATAAGGATGAGGGATTGAACATTGTCACTGTGACTGCTTGGCCTGGCTGCTCTTGTTTGAGCGGAGCAGGAGTCAGCAAGGGGGCACGGGGATCATCGGAGGCTGCTCTCGGTCACCGTGGGAGTCATGGCTGTGCCTTCTGTTCTTCAGCCTGAAGATGAGTCAGGACATAGAGGATGACTTGATAGCAGAAAACGTACTGACCCTGTAGAGGAGGTGATGGGAAGCGGGGGAGATGGAGAGGCTTCATTTATATAAGGTAAGTTTATACCACTAAGGTTTAAAAATTTTGGAATTATGAACTTTTTTGTTTAAATGCTGAATGTAAGAGTCAGGGCACAGAACTGTACAGTACCATAAAATTATAAAGCAAACTGATAAAAAAGGAGACGACAAAGTGGCAATGGGTTTCGTGTAGAATGATCATGGATTACATAAATATCCCAATAAATCTTTCTCTCTGTGTGTGATTTTATTTTACCTTTTGGTGCTGGGGACCAAACCCAGGACTGTGCTTTCAAGGCAAGTGCTCTACTACTGAACTGTATCACCAATCTCTAAAATCTAGATATTCGACATTTACTGAACTCATGTTCTTGTTTTAAAATTAAGTAAGTCAATAACCAAGAATCTATTAAAACAAACTTCTTTAAATATTTCAGAGCAAAAACAGCAATAAAATTTATTTACTTAATTTTGAGGTGAGGTTTCTCTGTGTAGCCCTGGCTGTCCTGGAACTCACTTTGTAGACCAGGCTGGCCTTGAACTCACAGAGATCTGCCTGCCTCGTCTTCCCAAGTATTGGGATTAAAGGCATGTGCCACTACTGCCTGGCTAGAGGTAAAGATTAAGATATAATCTTAACATATAATACAATAAAATAACACAATTTTAAGTAATAAATATGAAATAATTTTTCTTTCAATACTTTTGATCAAAAGAGTGCAGAAATCAATGAGCCTTGATAATGAGTCCTTATGGAGAAATTAATGCCTAAGCTGATGATGCTGAGATCTGAGGTTTTTTTGTTATCTGGCAAAGAAATAATGTATCAGAAAATAAATGGTATGAAATAACAGTGGACTGGAGAGAGGACTCAGCAGTTAAGAGCACTTGCTGTTCTTGCAGAGCATAGGAGTTTGGTTCCTAGCATCCACATGGTGGCTCCCAGCTGCCTCTAACTACAGCCCTAGCAGATCTTAAAATAAAATCTTAAACAAAGCCCACAGTAGATTAAGTGGACAGCTGGAGCTCAGCTGTAACTGTTGCACATATGTGTATGTGAGCAAGAATTCTTCGCAGATCTGAAACATCAGCAACTTAATAGGGAGTGTTAGCTGCCTTCAGCCTCCCGTTATTCATCTGGCATTTTAGCTTCTGTGCACCCCCATGTTCATGGCAGTCTTCTCTCATAGCTGCCACCAGCAAGTCTATTTCACAGATGTCTTTCTGTCCACAGTCAACACTTTGTAGCCAATCACCCTGCTTACCTTGCAACTGATTCTCTACCTGTGTGTCCCTCCCTAGGTACCTTGTAACTGGTCCCTGTGTGTCCCTAACCCTGGCACAGCTCATGTTCCATCACACTGCTAGAGCAATTATTTAAGATGAGTGCAGTCCATCTCTTCAGGCTACAGGTTTGTGAAAGCTTGCCTCTCACTCAAAGAAAAATCACAGCCCTGGCCTTGTTACCTTCCTCCCCCCTCTATGCCCCACTGGACAGGCTCCTTCTTGAAGACACAGCCCATTCCCTCCATGCAGCACGCACTCTGCCTGAGGACTCCCCAGACCTTGGCTTAAATGTTATTTTTTAAAAACTCACTTTTATGAGACTGCCCTTTTACAGTTTCATCCTTTCTCCCTGAAGTAACCGCCACCCCTCTTATTATTCCCTACACCATGGTCACCACCCTTGTCCCTGCAGGACCCTCTCTCTCGTTCTTCTCTTTTTGATTTGTGATTCAGTGACTTTATTCAGGGCCATCTGTGGGATCATGAGTTTGGGGCTACACACTGAAACCCACAGGACTCATATGTGGGCACACAACTGAAGGAGGGGTTACTTTTTTTAAAATTTTGGACAGGGGCTCACTATGCAGCTCTGATTGGCCTGGGACTCACTATGTAGAGCAAGCTGGCCTCAAACTCAGAGGCGTGGGGCACCAAGCCTGGCTGGAGCTACTTTCTTTCTTTCTTTTTTTTCTTGGTTTTTTGAGACAGGGTTTCTCTGTGTAGCTTTGGAGCCTATCCTGGAACCAGCTCTTGTAGACCAGGCTGGTCTCGAACTCAGAGATCCGCCTGCTTCTGCCTCCCGAGTGCTGGGATTAAAGGTGTGCGCTACTAACGCCCAGCCCCTGGAGCTACTTTCTTAATGGTGTCACTCTGTTTAAAATTGTGTCTCCAGACTTCCACCCAGTCTTTGAGGGCTATGTGCTGGCCTGCCACACTCACTGTCCCATGCAGTGTCTCTGGTACTGTAGCAATGTGTGTGTGTGTGTGTCACAATGGTGTGTTCCAGGTGCTCAGAGAAGCTTCAGGCACACAGACTTCACATGTCTTGAGTGAACATGCAGGCAAAAGAAACTGCTTATCCTAACCACTCAATGTGTTTTCCTTAGCCGACTACAGCACAGCTGTAAATCAGCTTAATGTCTACAAGCCTCAATTTGAATTGAAACTGTACACGACTGGAAAAGCAGGCAAGCTACAGCCAGCTGTGTTTTGAAGAGCAGATAAATATGACTCTATGGACATGCAAATCTCCCACACTGTCCCAATATAGAAGAAAAGGTGGGTGGAGGGACTCAGCAATGTTAGGGTAAGGTTAGAACAGTACACTTTCTGTGACAGGTGGGCTCAGCTGGGAGTCATTGGGTGATACAATCCATGTTCAGGTTCAGGAAAGAAAACCGAATCCAACACTAACAACTTATGGGAGCTGCAGCCAGCACCCTGCAAAGCCATCTTGGTGTCAAAGAACTGCTGCTGTAGTAGCCCTGCCCTTCCACACCCCCTGGGGACACCAGCAGTGAGAGGGCAGCAGCTTTTGTCTTTTGAAGGTTGGGGGTGGGGCAGGGTGCCTTCTACTCTGGGCCTCCACAACATGTGCGCTCTCTGTGACCAAGTTAGTGAGGACACTGCATTTCTTCTTCTTCCTCCCTCTCCTTCCCTCCTGTCTCATCTGTGCGCGCACATGAGAGTGCATACGTGTGAGGAAGTCAGATGATAACCTTGGGTGTTTTTCCTTAGGTTTTGAGACAGTGTCTCTCACTGGCTGGAGCTCATAGACTCAACCAAGCTGGCTGGCTAATGAACCCCAGGAATGTTCCTGACTCCACCCTCCCTGCCTGTGATCACAAGTGTGAGCCACCATTCCTGGGTTTTATATGGTTTTGAGGGTCACAACCAGGACCTCACACTTCACTGAAGGGGTTATCTCCTCAGCTCCCATTCTCCATTTTTTTTTTTTTCTAAACTAACGGTAGTATGTAAAAGACAGTCTAAAAGACTTATTATTTTCTACGTTAGTCCTCATGCAAAAAAAAAAAGTTTATTATGACAAGAAATGTTGGGTTTATGCTGCAATGGAAGGAAAACTTAAAAAAAAAAAAAAAAAAAAAAGATCACTGGGCATAGTAGTTTTGCTTTGCTTTCCTGGATATTTCAGCCACTTGAAAAGCTTCAGCAAGAAGAGTGAGCCCAGTTCCAGGTCAGCCTGGGCAACATAGCAAGAGCACCCCAAAAGAAAAAGGTAAAAGAGAATAAAAGTTTAAGAGCGCCTTAAAAGCATGAGTGTCTTAAAATGAGTCCTCATTAGCATGCACAGACTCACCTCTGTCTGCACCATGCCGTGTCTTTGTAGTCTCATGCAGCGCACCAAGTCAGAGATGTCGAACTGCCAGGACACACAACAGGGCGTTAGACACAGACCCGGAAGATGCACAGCTGATTCATCTTAGAATTCTTTTTTTTTAATATATATTTATTTATTCATTTTACATCCCGGTGGCAGTTTCTCCTCCTTTCTTCCAAGTGCCTCTTCCCATCCCCTCTTTTCCCACCCCCAACCTACTCCCCCTCTGTTTCTGTTTAGGAAAGGGCAGGTTTCCCACAAATATCAAAACAAAACAAAAAACAAACAGACAAAAAACCCATGGCATATTAAGTTGCAATAAGAATAAGCACCTCCCCATGTATTAAGGCTGGGCAAGGTGACCCAGTATGAGGAAAGGGCCCCCAAAGTCAGCAAGAGTCAGAGACAGTCCCTGCACCCACTGTTAGGAGTCCCACAAGATGACCAAGCTACACAATTGTCACATATATGCAGAGGGCCTAGGTCAGTCCCATGCAGGCTCCCTGGTTGTCAGTTCAGTCTCTGTGAGCCCCTATGAGCCCAGGTTAGTTGATTCTATGTTTTCTTGTGGTGTCCTCCACCTCTCTAGCTCCCATAATCCTTTCTCCCCCTCTTCTTCAAGATTCCCTGAACTCTGCCTAATGTTTGGCTATGGGTCTGCATCTGTTTCCATAAGTTGCTGGATTAAGCCTCTCTGACAATTGAGCCAGGCACCAATCCGGTGCTGCCCCTCCTTATCATTGTTTGAACGCTCCTGCATGTAATGACTTTTTATAACATTTATGATGTTTCTAAGAATGAGAGTCCACTGTTTGAAAATCTTTAACAGAAGTTCTCTTCCTCTGAAATTTAGTTCATTTCTTAAACTATAAAAAAAATAATATAAGCAATATTCCTCACATACTGCTGTTCAGAATAAAACTCCAAATCTTTTAAATTTAGCTGATATTGAACAGTCTGAAGCAAGGGCAGATTGGACTGCTGGGTTTGCCCCACTTCAGTTATCATAGTTTATAATAGTATCAAGCACAAGACAGAACTGCTTCATCTAAAATCCTTTAAGAGACAGTGGTTTGGGGGCTGGGGAGATGGCTCAGTGGTTAAGAAAGAGCACTGGCTGCTCTTCCAGAAGTACTGAGTTCAATTCCCAGCAACCACATGGTGGATCACAACCATCTATAAAGGGATCTGATGCTCTCTTCTGGCATCAGAAGATGTACATGCAGATAGAGCACTCATACACGAAAAATTAATTAATTAATTAATTAAAAGAGACAGTGATTTTAATCAGAGTATATATATATGTAGGTAAATGCAAGATATTTTGTCAATTAAGTAGGTTTTATACTAACTTAAGAGCCCAAAGTAAGATAATACTGTTATTTGCTTTAATGTATGTAGGTATGTATGTATGTATGTATGTATGTATGTATGTATGTATGTATATTGGTTTTTCAATACAAGGTTTCTCTGTATAGCCCAGGCTGGCTTCAAAGTCAGAGATCTGCCTGCATCTGCCTCCCAAGTGCTGGGATTAAAGGCAAGCACCATTTTCTGACTTTTAGCAGTATTTTTAAAATTAGGAATAACTACTTAGAGCAATAGAATATCTCACAGAGAAACTTATGGACTGTAAGGGGTAAGAAAGGATAGTGCCCACAGAGCTTTATTACACTTTTAAATAGCCACATTATTAAATAGTAGATTCAGCAATATCTTTACTCACTTCAAGATCTTGGCTGATTAATCCTAGGACCACGTCTATGCATATGAGGGTCCCTGAACGTCCAATGCCAGCACTGCAGTGTGTGATCACTGGGCCTGACCTATGGATATGTCTCATGTAGGAGATGAAAGTGAGCAGGTCGTCTGGCTGGGAGGGTGTATCATGGTCTGGCCAGGCAGTGAAATTCAGGTGAGTGATATGCCGCACCGCTCCTGTCTGAAAGTTTAAAAAACAGAGTGAGTTACAATGTCACACTATTCCTAAGTCAGCTCCTCATAATATCATTGTGATTGTCCAAATTTGAGTAGTATATTGGATCAGACCAAAAGAAAAAATGGAAAAGATTAAAAAAGGCTTCATAAATACACAAAGTAGGTGTGATGGTGTATATCTAACTTCCAGAATTCAGACCAAGAGAGGAAGATGGAGTGTTCAAGGCCAGCTTAGGGATATATAGCAAGACTATGACTCAAAATAACATACAGAAAGGAAATACAAGGAAACTGTATCAAGAGGGTTTCTAGTTTTACACCATCCCCACTACAACCACCTCCACCCCCATAGTCCTAGAGGCTGGGAATGGTATTCAGGTCCTTGTGTGTACACAAGGCAAAAGCCATACCCAGCTATTGTGGACTCATTTAAATACACTGTAATGTTTAGTCTCAGAACCTTTATCCTTTCTTTCCAGTTAGGGACTGCCCCCCCCTCCATCTTCTGTGGCTTCATTTTTTCTTAAATGCAACTCTCAGGCCTCCCCTGACCCACTACTGAACATACAACATACATCTCACTGTCCTCTGTTGTTGCTTTCCCTGCTTCATTTTCCCCACAGTGCTATTTGCATCAGCTTCTCTTCCTTAGGAACTGAGCTCCATGAGGTAGGGAATGGCTTTGTTTGTTGTTAAAATGCTGAACCACTGGGATCCACTGCGGGGTTTGAGTTCTAGTACTACATGTATAATCAGATCACTTGAGGAATAATGAGCAACAAAACTCTGGAGCAATGGGTAAGAGATGTAACAACCTGATCAATGGGTAACAGGTGTATCAACCAGAGCAATGGGTAACAGGTGTATCAACTTGATCAATGGGTAACAGATGTATCAACTTGATCAATGAATAACAGGTATATCAGCCTGATCAATGGGTAACAGGTGTATCAACCTGATCAATGGGTAAGTAACAGGTGTATCAGCCTGATCAATGGGTAACAGATGTATCAGCCTAAGCAATGGGTAACAGGTGTATTAAAACATTTCATGATATAGGAGCATGTGCAATTTTTATGTGTCAATTCAAAATGTCTAGGTTTCATAAAAGAGTAAAACCTTGACTACTTTGTAAAATAATAAACCACAATGGAAAATATCATATACTGTCTAGATGATGCCAACAGAAGTGAATCAATACATCTTCTTTTTATTTTTTTCTAGAAAAGCTTAAGAAAGGGAATGGAGGACACAGATCATTGAGTAAAATGCTAGTCACACAAGCACAAGGACCTGAATTTGGATCCCAGCACACACAGAAAGCACTGGGCATTGCTATGTCCCTTGTCCCAGTGCTGTGGAGATGGAGATGGGAGGACCTCTGGCACTCACTGGCTGGCCAGTGCGGCTCAATCTGTGAGCTCACATTTAGTGAGAGACCATTTCTCAAAAAAGGTGGAGAGCCATAGAGGAAGATTTGAACATCAACCTCCAGCCTCCATATGTACTTGCACATACATGTACCTGCACACATCTATGCACACACACAAGTACGCACCCCCCAT